TGCCCGGGTATGGCCCGTGGTCTGGGTGGGCAGAGGTCTGGAGTGCAGGGCTGTGTAGTTGTGGCTGTGGCTGTGACACATGCTGGACTTCCCTGCCAGGTGGGGGTGACAGTGGCGCAGACCACGATGGAGCCACATCTTCTAGAAGCTTGTGTGCGTGAAGTGCTGAATGACACAGCCCCACGGGCCATGGCCGTGCTGGAGTCACTACGGGTTGTCATCACCAATTTTCCTGCTGCCGAGGTGGGCGTGCACCTCCGTGTGTGTGCATGCTTGTACACACATGTATGTGTCGGGGGCACGCCTGGGTCCGGGGATCCCAGTGGCTGGCATGACTCCAATACTTGTGTCCTGTTGCAGTCCTTGGATATCCGGGTGCCCAACTTCCCAGCTGATGAGGCCAAGGGCTTCCACCAGGTCCCCTTTGCCTCTGTCGTCTTCATTGAGAGGACCGACTTCAAGGAGGTGAACGTGGGCTGGAGGGTCCTGTCTGCCACTGAGGCTAGTCCCGGGGTCTTTTCATCTCATCCCTTCTCTCAGTCTGTCTACTTTCGGCTCCAGGTGGACCATCCCCTGCCAGACTAGGCAGTGGGAGAAGCCTCTCTCCCCCAGCCTGACCCTCGCAGCCTCTCGTGTAAACCCTGCTCCCTGTCTCTAGGAACCGGAGCCAGGCTATAAGCGCCTGGCTTGGGGCCAGCCTGTGGGCCTGAGGCATACGGGCTACGTCATCGAGCTGCAGCGTGTGGTCAAGGTGAGAGCCAGCTCAGCCTCCCTACTGCAGGGCCTGGCAGGGCAGGATCGTGTCCTGCAGGTCCACTGGTGTGCAACTGCAGCCCCCCACGTCCCCCTCCAGGGCCCCAGTGGCTGTGTGGAGAGCCTGGAGGTGACCTGCAGACGGGCGGATGCTGGCGAGAAGCCCAAGGCCTTTATTCACTGGGTGTCACGGCCTCTGAAGTGCGAGATTCGCCTCTACGAGCGACTGTGAGTGAACAGCTGGCATGAGAGCACATGTGAGGTGGGCATCGCCCTCTCTGGCTGCCAAGCCACAGCGCTGACCTTCATTTTGGCTACAGATTTCTGCACAAGAACCCCGAAGATCCTGCTGAGGTGCCTGGTGGCTTCTTAAGTGACCTGAACCCTGTAGGTTCACGGGATATGGGGGGAGGGTGGTGATCCTCCCTGGCTGGCTGGCTGCCTGAGTTCCCTGCCCACAGGCATCCCTGCAAGTGGTGGAGGGGGCGTTAGTGGACTGCTCCGTGGCCCTGGCAAAGCCCTTCGACAAGTTCCAGTTTGAGCGCCTTGGGTATTTCTCCGTCGATCCAGACAGCCGCCAGGGACAGGTGCTGGCCCTGTCCTCCCCCTTCCTGCAAGCGAGGGTGTCTGCCATTGGCTGTCTCAGGCACACATGGGGAGGGTGGCAGCATTCATGGTGTACTAATGAAACCGGCCCTGAGGTTAGCTCTGTGCACACTTTGCATGCACCCCACTTTCCTACTCAGAGCAAGGGGCAGCCTAGGGTTATCATCACCCTTATGAAACTGAGGCGCAGAGCCATCCAGTCCCTTACCCAAAGACACAAAGTTATTGAGGAATTAGGTCTCTTTACCTTTGGTCCCTCAGCTCCTCTGGGATGAGGAGGGGACTAGGGGAATGGTTTGCGGTTGGTGGTCATTCTCTTCTCTCCACCCTCCAGCTTGTCTTCAACCGAACCGTCACACTCAAGGAGGACCCTGGAAAGGTGTGAGCTGGATGCACTGCGGACCTACCTCATCCTCACCTTCACCACCTCCAACTCGATATCAATAAAGAATGGCTAAATCCCCCTGGAGTCCGTGTTGTCTGTCCACCTAGCTCCTGAAGGCCCTGGAGAGTTGCTCTGTGTGTGTGTGACGTGTCTTTTTTCTTTTTTTTAATTTAGGTTTTTGCCTTAAGGTGTATGTACTCACCAGAGAGAGAGACAGACAATGAGAGGGAAAGTGCAAAATCACCCCCCCAGGAGGGATGGCCACGCTGCAACTCCTTATCGTCCCAGGATCTTGGGCACACGTACACACACACCTGGTGTGAGTTGCAAGTGCGGAATTCGAACTGTGGTCGGCCATCTGGGAGTCCAGCTACACCAACTGCTGGCCCCCTGACGTGTCATTTTGCAGTGGTGAGAATGAGCTGACCCAGAATAGAGCTTTGAAACCATTGGTCCATTTCTTGGAGCTCCAGGGCAGAAGTCTGGTCTGGATTAATATCCTAGCACCTGGTCCAAGGGAACCTTCTTCCTTGGTTCGGAGACCTGTGCCAAAGGCATCTGGGTGTGTCTGCTTGTGTGCCAGGGCAGATGAAGACAGGACTGGCTTCTAGTCCGATCATTGAGCAAATAACAGTACCAACCATGTTCGGGGCACAGCGGGGACGGCGCACAATGCTGGGGATGCTCACGGGGAGAGGTGTGGGGCTGGAAGAGGTTCCTGACCCAGCCTGGGCCTCAGAAAAGCCTCCTGGGGCCAGCGGGCTGCCCACTGGGCTATGTGGCTGCCGAGGCCTGCGCCTGCGTGTGCCTGCAGCTTTAACGCCTTCCACATTTTCCCTGTATACAAACACCAGCCTACCCGAGGCCTGCTTTAAGGTGGACCTGGCTGAGGAGGGCCAAACAGATGGCAGCAGGTGTCGGGGCTCTGACGCTCGGTTCTCCACGAAAGGGGCCCAGGGGCCAGCAAGACGGGGTACGGCTGGGGACGCCGGGCTCAGGGCAGGGGTCTGTAGGGGCCACCTTAAGCGAGAGGCCAAGCCGGCCTGGGCCCCGCCCCGCGTGGGGCTGCGCGACCAAAGGAGGCTCCAGCGGGCGGCGGAAGGGGGGTCCAAGCAGCGAGCTACGCTACCCAGTCTGCCCGGATCCACCGCTAGGCCTATCCCCGGCCCTAGCTCCACCCTGCATGGAGGGGCGTCCGGGGCGGGGCGACCCGCCCCACATCCCGGGCTCCTCTTTCGGCTCCAGCAGCCTGAGGCGCGGCCTTCTTCCTGAGCTGAAACGTTCCCTTTAAGTCTGACCGGGAGGTAGCCCAAGATCTCGCGGGATCCGACGCTCTGGTTCTCGCGAGAGGGGCATTCGGCACCCATTGGCTGTAAAGGTTGAATGTAAGATGGCGCCCAGGGAGCTGTGAGGAGAAAATCCTGTCGGTCTTGAAGCGGCGACGGCAGAACCGGGGCCCCGAGCGGTGCGG